TATATATATCGTATATGTGGATTTTGATAGAGTATAGATAGTATATGCCACATGTACTGTATCCACAGTAGATGCAATATATACAATATAGGTAAATATGTTTGTTGAATAAATTTTACATAGTATATATGGTATATTGAATATCGACAGCAATACACGCTGTATATCTAGAGTTTATGTATATATATATGTATATATATATATATGCATATATATATATGTACGTATATATATATATATATATGTGTGTACAGTATGTAACGAAATATGTGATAGATACAAGATCAAGATATCAATATGTAGTATCTAGAATGTGCATATATATATATATAAATATTTGTTGTTTTTCTACTGTACATATGTCTAGGTTTGCATAGGTAAGCTTTGCGTAATCCATAGGTAGCAAATATGTTGTAAACCATGTGCGAGGCACGCTATAGGCGGTTCGAAAAAAAGGTTATGATAGAAATATACAGGTAGACAAGGTCCGTTGACGAGGTCGTGGTCTCAAGTGCTGCAAATAACGTAGAGATGCGAGGTTGGAGGGGTGGAAAAGGGGAGTATATATGTGTATATGTGTATGTATATGTTCAAATAACATGCAAATACTAGGTTTTGGGGGGGTGTGGGGGGTTAGGAGTTGGGGGGGGATACCATTGGGGGGGGGGGGGTGGGGGTCCGGGGACCGGGCTCATATATATATATATATACGCATTAAACATCATTATACTGTACACATGTATCAAAGGAAGTTCAATTAGAAAACTTCCGGGCTACGGACGATTGTCATGGCCAGCATTCTCACCATCATGTCAACCACATCATCAGGTCAACCACATCATCATCAAGTAGTTGGGAAGTGTAACAGTTCGGGAACGCGTGAATTCAGGCTTGAAAAGATTCTCGGGCGCGAAACCCTGTTTTTTGGGGTAAAGTGGTTTCCGTGGTTGCCGAAGTAGGGTCTCTGTTTCCGCGCGTGCGGGCCTTAATCTGCAAAAGTTGTCGACAAAAAGCGCACAGGACTGTAGCGGGAGCTCGATTTGCACTTGAACATGTTGAAAAACTGTCGCGTTCGGAGCTCTTTTGGAAGATGGGGTTGGCGAAATGTGCGCGAGACTGTAGCGAGAGCTCGATTTCACGTAAAAATCGTAACAAACTGTGGCGTTTGGAGCTCTTTTGGAAGATGGGGTCGGAAAAATGTGCACGAGACTGTAGCGAGAGCTCGGTTTGACAAACTAGACGACGGATGGCCCGAGAGCGTAGAGGAGCAGAGTCTTCTGTTGTTAGTATGGAGACACTATAATACAAGAGAATATATTAAAGATGTATTATAAGCAGACGAGAAGAGTAGTATCAAGACAATATATGACTAGTACAAGACAATAGTTTGCATCGTATTTTTGTAAAGTTTTTCATACGCAGAACTTTTTACAGACAGACGCTTTTGCACAGAGACTTTTACACACAGACGCTTTTTACACACAGACGCTTTTACACACAGACGATTTTGCACACAAACACAAACACTTTTACACACAGAGACTTTTACACACAGAGACTTTTACACACAGAGGCTTTTACCCGCAGACGATTTTACACACAAACACTTTTACACACAGAGACTTTTACACACAGAGACTTTTACACACAGAGATTTTTACACACAGACGCTCTTACACAGACGATTTTACACACAACCACTTTTACACACAAACACTTTTACACAGAGAGACTTTTACACACAGACGCTTTTACACACAGAAGCTTTTACACACAGAAGCTTTTACACACAGACGCTTTTACACACAGACGCTTTTACACACAGACGCTTTTACACACAGACGCTTTGACACACAAACACTTTTACACACAGAGGCTTTTACACACAGACGCTTTTACACACAGACGCTTTTACACACAGACGCTTTTACACACAAGCACTTTTACACACAAACACTTTTACACACAGACGCTTTTACACACAGACGCTTTTACACACAGAAGCTTTTACACACAGACGCTTTTACACACAGACGCTTTTACACAGAGACTTTTACACACAGACGCTTTTACACGCAGACGCTTTTACACACAGACGCTTTTACACACAGAAGCTTGTACACACAAACACTTTTACACACAAACACTTTTACACACAGAGCTTTTACACACAGACGCTTTTACACACAGACGCTTTTACACACAGACGCTTTTACACACAAGGCGCTTTTACACACAGACGCTTTTACACACAGACGCTTTTACACACAGAGGCTTTTACACACAGAGGATATCACAGAGGCTTTTACACACAGACGCTCTTACACACAGACGCTTTTACACACAGACGCTTTTACACACAGAAGCTTTTACACGCTTTTACCCACAGACGCTTTTTACACACAGAGACTTTTACACACAAACGCTTTTACACACAGACGATTTTGCACACAAACACTTTTACACAAACACTTTTACACACAGACGCTTTTACACACAGACGCTTTTACACACAGAAGCTTTTACACACAGAAGCTTGTACACACAAACACTTTTACATACAAACACTTTTACACACAGAAGCTTTTACACACAGACGCTTTTACACACAGACGCTTTTACACACAGATGTTTTTACACACAGACGCTTTTACACACAGACGCTTTTACACACAGACGCTTTTACACACAGACGCTTTTACACACAGACACTTTTACACACAGACGCTTTTACACACAGACGCTTTGACACACAAACACTTTTACACACAGACGCTTTTTACACACAAACACTTTTACACACAAACACTTTTACACACAGACGCTTTTACACACAGACGCTTTTACACACAGACGCTTTGACACACAGACGCTTTTACACACAGACGCTTTTGCACACAGTCTTTTACACACAGACGCTTTTACACACAGACGCTTTTACACACAGACGCTTTTACACACAGACGCTTTTACACACAGACGCTTTTACACACAGACGCTTTTACACACAGACGCTTTTACACACAGACGATTTTACACACAGACGCTTTTACACACAGACGCTTTTACACACAGACGCTTTTACACACAGACGCTTTTTACACACAGGCGCTTTTACACACAGACAAGTCCGGCACAAGTAAAATCGCAATTTTACCGCAGTTTTTGACGATCGACCCTCATTTCGTGCGAAAGGGTTGCTCCGGCACAAGTAAAATCGCAATTTTACCGCAGTTTTTGACGATCGACCCTCATTTCGTGCGAAAGGGTTGCTCCGGCACAAGTAAAATCGCAATTTTTCCTCAGTTTTTGACGATCGACCCTCATTTCGTGCGAAAAGGTTGCTCGGGGGCAAGTAAAATCGCAATTTTTCTTCAGTTTTTGACGATCGACCCTCATTTCGTGCGAAAGGGTTGCTCGGGGGCAAGTAAAATCGCAATTTTTCTTCAGTTTTTGACGATCGACCCTCATTTCGTGCGAAAGGGTTGACGTTTCGTGACTCCCCGCCGGCACCACCCTCGGCCTAAAGAGAGAAAGATAAAGAAGGCGAGAGAGAGAAAAGGGAGAGAGAAAGGAGAGAGAGAGAGAAAGGAGAGAGGAAAGAGGAGAGAGAGAGAGAGAGAGAGAGAGGGAGAGAGAGAGAGAGAGAGAGAGGGAGGGAGAGAGAGAGAGAGAGAGAAGATGTGAGTATGTGAAGATGTGAGTGTGAGAGAGAGAAAGTGAAGATGTGAGTATGTGAAGATGTGAAGATGAGCAGATGTGAAGATGAGAAGATGTGAAGATGAGCAGATGTGAAGATGAGCAGATGTGAAGATGAGCAGATGTGAAGATGAGAAGGTGTGAAGATGAGAAGATGTGAAGATGAGAAGGTGTGAGAGAAGGTGTGAAGATGAGAAGGTGTGAAGATGAGAAGATGAGATACAGACCCCCACTATTAGAAGAACCCTGCGCTCAGACGCTCTCGGGAAAAAAAGGTAAAAAAAAACAAGCGCCAGAGCACTTTTGCAAGATGAAGTTGGCAAAGTTCTTTGATTCTTTGATTCACTGATTCATTGATTCATGCATTCATTTGTTCGTTCGTTCGTTCGTTCCTTCCTTCATTCACTCATTCCTTCCGTCCTTCATTCATTCATTCATTCATTCAATCAATCAATCATTCAGTCAGTCAGTCAGTCAGTCAGTCATTTAGTCATTCAGTCATTCAGTCAGTCAGTCAGTCAGTCATTTAGTCATTCAGTCATTCAGTCATTCAGTCAGTCAGTCATTCAGTCATTCACTCATTGGCTCACTGAATCGCTGAGCCGATGATTCGTTAATTCACTGATTCGTTGACTCATTGACTCATTGACTCACTGAACCTTTGGTTCATTGATTCGCCAATTCACTGATTCGTTGGGTCATCGATCCAATGATTGGTAGATTCATTGATGCACTGACTCATACATCATCGATGGTTCATTGATTCATTGAATTTTCGAGTCGTTGATTCATTGACTCATTGGTTCCTTGATTCAGTGATTCACTGCTTCATTGATTCACTGATTCATTGCTTCGTTGATTCATTGACTCACTGGATCGTTCAATCATTGGTTCATTGATTCACTGGCTCAATGCTTCACTGACTCATTGAGTCGTTGAACCATTGATGCATTGGTTCAGTGATTTGTTGCTTCATGGTTTCATTGAATTCATTCACTGATTCATTGGTTCATCGGTTCATTGCTTCATTGCTTCATTCATTCAGTTGTGCAGTGATTCTTTTATGTCATTTCATTGGCATGCAACCACAATCTGCTCATTCGTTGATGCACCTCACAATTTCAACAGTTCATTGCTTCTGCATGGCAAAAACTTTCCTATAGGCCATTGATTTCCTATAGACATGTCCTATTTTTGAAACTTCCGCCCCGGCGCGTGCCGGGCACGGCGCTACCTGGTAAACCCAATTGCCTATGATGCACCCAATCAAGAACAGCTGCAGCACCTTCACATGCCTGAAGGACCCCGTGAAACAGCTTTTGCCGGAGGAAGATGAGGATGGGGGCTACTGAACCTGTTGCAAGAACATTGTTGAAAATCCAAACTATGGACGCAATCACACAACCGGAAGTTTTCAACCTTGTGAGTTGCAGCTGGAAGGCAGCTCACTTTGCTGGCTCACAGAGTATCTTGGCAGAAATCATGTTGCTTTTGAAAATGCAAAGTGTGAGGGCATGTAGGGTCATCAGAAGCAAGGTTAACCGTTTAACCTTTGAAACTTCAAATTGAAGCAAACTTGCAAACACGATCTTCCGCATCACCCAAGCAAATCACAGGGCCGTTGCAAGGTGAAGCAGAGTGGAACGAATGGAAACTGGCCAAAGCACGCAAGTGACCGCCTCAAACATCTCAAACCAATCACGCCAAATCAATGGTCCGTCAACCGAGAGGACAGTACTGCTCCATGATTTAGACAACAAAACTTATCGAGGTATCGAGGATGTTGCACTTTGCCTTTGGACATTGAAATCCCATATGTTTTTTCTTGGAACTAGTCCGGTTCAGGAAGACGGTGAAGAACATCCTCCTGAAGCACCCGCGGAAGGGAGACGGGAACACCGCGAAGAGCGAGTCAGATCAAGATGCCAGTGACCGGACCACGCTTGGAGTGAAGACCACTTTCAGCTTCAGGCCTTGAACTTGGTTGGTTTGATGGTGAGCTCGTGGGATGCCACAATGGAATGAATAACAAGAATAGCACGGGTTCATGTTTTGCAGTGCTTTGGACTGTTTCGGTGCGTTTTGATCATTTTTGAGCCTTGCAGACGTTGATAGGTCTTGTATAGAAACTTAAACACGATGGTTGACTTTCCTACAAGGAACTCCGTCCTGGAGACACGAAAGAAGATGAGTCGACCGCCCAGAGATGATACATAGCTGAAACCGATTACCAACCTTTGTTACCCAAATATCAACAGCATTCGGCCGTCGGGCTTGAGGCATGATCGTAGGACTGGCGCAAGCACAGCAAAATGCTCTTACTCCCCAACGCAAGGAGGCCAGAAAGTCACTGCAAGTCCGTTTCAGAAGCTCCAGCGTTTCAGTTGCAAATATGAACATATGTCTAGAGTTGACAAAAACCTGGCTACGCAAACTTTGTCATTCAAACACCAGATTCTCAGAGATCTCGGGGCATGGGTGACTTTGCAGGCATGCCAAATGTTGCGCTTCTTTGTCTTTGGTGCTGCAAGAAGCTCAAAATCTGCGGCTGCACTGTCAGCATCTGGTTATTGTTGTGCTGGACCTATCTGGGCCTCGGGCCTTGTCTGTGTAGGTTGGAAATGAAAAGGCAAAGACAGCGGAAGAAAAAGAAGCGAATCTTGGCTTGAGGGGCGTGCCATTAAAAGAGTTGATGACCATATGACCTGAATGGTGAAATTTCCGAACGGTTTTGCCTCTCAGAAAACATGTTCTGCGACTTGGAAAACCTAGGACTTATATATATATTATATTATATATTATATATTACATATTACATATTATATATTATGTATTACATATTATATATTATATATTATATATTTTATATTATATATTATATATTATATATTATATATGATATATTATATTTTATATATTATATATTATATATATTATACAATACATATGTTTATCAAGTTGTGAAATGAGTAATAATATCTGTGAATTATTATTGTTATTATTATTGTTACCATCATCATCATCATCATCACCATCATCATCATCATCATTGTTTTTACCAGTAGTACCGCACAAGGCGGTGGCGGAAGTTTCAACGATAGGAATTTGTAGGAGGGGTGAGTTGTTTTGATGCATGGATGGCAGAGCGAACCCACTGATGGACCGAAAGGTGGTTGTGATTTTTGGAGTGGTTGCAGTGGTTACCTCACCCACAACTGCAGAATGTAGTGTGGTGTAGCAAAGTGCAACGTAATTGTAGTTGTAGCTGTAGTGCACTTGTAGTTGTAGTTGTAGTTGTAGTTGTAGTGTAGTTGATACTGTTGAAGTTGTAATGTTGTCGTTTTAGTTGTAGTTGTGATTGTAGTCGTCGGAGTTGTAGTTGTAGCTGTAGTTGTAGTAGTAGTTGTTGTAGTTGTAGTGTAGTGTAGTGTAGTGGCAGTTGTAGTTGGAGTTGTAGTTGTAGGTGTAGTGTAGTTTACTGGTAGTGGTAGTTGTAAATGTAGTGTAGTCGTCGTTGTAGCTGTTGTTGTAGCCTAGTGTAGTGTAGTGGTAGTTGTAGTTGTAGTCTAGTGTAGTGTACTGGTAGTTGTAGTTGTAGTGTAGTTGCAGCTGTGGTTGTAGTTGTAGTGCAGTTGTAGTGTATCTGAAGTTGTAGCTGTAGTTGTACTTGCAGTTGCACTTGTAGTGTGCTTGTACTTGTAGTTGTAATTGTATTTGTAGCTGCAGTGTAGTTGAAGTTGTATTTGTAGCTGTAGTTGACGTGTATATAGTTGAAGTGTAGTTGAAGTTGAAGTTGTAGCTGTAGTATAGTGGTAGGTGTAGTTGCAATTGTTTATCTATCTATCTATCTATCTACCTATCTATCTATCCACCTACCTATCTATCTCTCTATCTCTATCTATCTCTGTCTATCCCTATCTGTCCCTATCTATCCCTATCTATCTCTATCTCTCTCCATCTATCTCTATTTATCTCTATCTATCACTGTCTATCTATACCTAGCTTCATTTGTCTATATCTATCTACATCTATCTATATCTATGTATATCTATCTATATCTATCTATATCCATCTATATCTTTCTATATCTATCTATCCCTATCTGTCCCTATCTATCTCTATCTATCCCTATCTGTCCCTATCTATCCCTATCTATCTCTATCTCTCTCCATCTATCTCTATTTATCTCTATCTATCACTGTCTATCTATATCTAGCTTCATTTGTCTATATCTATCTACATCTATCTATATCTATGTATATCTATCTATATCTATCTATATCCATCTATATCTTTCTATATCTATCTATCCCTATCTGTCCCCATCTATCTCTATCTATCTCTATCTCTATCTCTCTCCATCTCTATCCCTATCACTATCTCTATCTATCTCTATCTCCATCTCCATCTCCATCTCCATCTCCATCTCTATCTCTATCTCTATCTCTATCTCTCTATCTATCTGTTTATCTATCTGTCTATCTCTATCTTTCTATATCTATCCATATCTATCTATATCTATCTATATCTAGCTTCATTTGTCTATATCTATCTACATCTATCTATATCTATGTATATCTATCTATATCTATCTATATCCATCTATACCTATCTAGATCTATCTCTCCCTATCTGTCCCTATCTATATCTATCTTTATCTATCTCCATCTATCTCTATCTATCCCTATCTATCACTGTCTATCCTATCTATCTCTATCTATCTATATCTATCTGTATCTATGTATATCTATCTATATCTATCTATCTCTGTCTCTATCTATCTCTGTCTCTATCTATCTCTGTCTATCTCTATCTATCTCTATCTACCCCTATCTATATCTATCTATCTCTGTCTATCTCTGTCTATCTCTGTCTATCTCTGTCTATCTCTGTCTATCTCCATCTCTATCTCTATCCCTATCCCTATCTCTATCTCTATCTATCTCTATCTCTATCTCTATCTCCATCTCCATCTCCATCTCCATGTCCATCTCCATCTCCATCTCCATCTCCATCTCCATCTCCATCTCCATCTCCATCTCTATCTCTATCTCTATCTCTCTATCTATCTGTTTATCTATCTGTCTATCTGTTTATCTCTCTATCTGTCTGTCTGTGTGTCCGTCCGTCCGTCCGTCCGTCCGTCCGTCCGTCTGTCTGTCTGTCTATCTAGCCATCTATCTATCTATCTATCTATCTGTCTGTCTGCCTGTCTGTCTGTCTGTCTGTCTGTCTGTCTGTCTGCAAGCTTGGAAACGAAGCTATTCGGCGAGACTTCCTCAAGTTGTGAACTTGAGAACGTCAAAAACGCCGCAATTCTGCGAGACTTCCTGTCCATATTGTCGGAAATTTGACTTCTAAACTTCATTTGCTTACTACTATTGTTAGCCCTACTATTACACAAGGTTTGGTTTGGCTTTGCCCTGGATGATTCTTGTGGACGTTGCTGGCTGAAAGATCCGAACCGACAACCTCTGGCCATTCTGTGGCTATGCCCCAGGATATTTGAGCAACGCCTGGGGGAGAGGTGGCAAGTTGGTGACTTAGTACAGCCTTCCATCAAGGACTTTCATTGTAAAGGTGAGGTGTCCGAAAATGGCATCAACCTCCAATTCATGCTGTTTTAGTAATAGATATGATGATACCGTAAACCATCGGATTGAAGAGGTTCTCCATTTTTAGACCAACCCAGGCTGGTTTAGATTTGTAGCTATCTGCAGACAGGGTGTGGAACGAATTCGCGCATCGTCCTGAAATTTGCAGGTTCAGCTTCTTTACAACTTGTGGGAGAAATTGGACATCGATCATTCTGGACGCGCCGAACTCATTACAGACATTGAACCTGATCCGGTCTAAGCCAAGACCTGCGATGCCGATTCTTTTTGATTCCCTCATTGAAAAGCATGGACGATTTCCGGACAAAGAGTCAAATTTGGGTACTTCGATGGTTTTCCGGCCATTTTCCGCAACACGTGGCTGTATCTCAAAGTCTCGTGCCAGCCAAAGTCCACTAATCTTCACCTTCAAACAGACCATTTCCATTTTTCCCCAAGATTCAAAGTCAAAAATCATCCCTAACCATCCCCAATCAAGATACTAAATATATCACCATATACATATATCAGCCACCTTTTTCCCAAAAGCATCTCCAATGCTTGGGTTCTCGTTTAGTTGCACTTGCCGCGAGGGAGCGATACGGAAGCGACGACAAGGTGGACGGACGGGGAAACCGTGGGAAATAGCTTGGGGAGAGCTCCGTGGGGAAGGAGGGAGATGGAAGCGACGACAGGGTGGACGGAGGGGAAACCATGGCAAATGGCTTGGGGAGAGCTCCGTGGGGAAGGAGTGTTACGGAAGCGACGACAAGGTGGACGGACGGGGAAACCGTGGAGCTTGGGGAGAGCTCCGTGGGGAAGGAGGGAGACGGAAGCGACACGTGGAAAATATGGCTTGGGGAGAGCTCCGTGGGGAAGGAGTGTTACGGAAGCGACGACAAGGTGGACGGACGGGGAAACCGTGGAAAATAGCTTGGGGAGAGCTCCGTGGGGAAGGAGGGAGACGGAAGCGACGACAGGGTGGACGGAAGGGAAACTGTGGGAAATAGCTTGGGGAGAGCTCCGTGGGGAAGGAGGGAGATGGAAGCGACGACAGGGTGGACGGAGGGGAAACCATGGCAAATAGCTTGGGGAGAGCTCCGCTGGGAAGGAGCGATACGGAAGCGACGACAGGGTGGACGGACGGGAAACCGTGGGAAATAGCTTGGGGAGAGCTCCGTGGGGAAGGAGTGTTACGGAAGCGACGACAAGGTGGACGGACGGGGAAACCGTGGGAAATAGCATGGGGAGAGATCCGTTGGGAAGGAGCGATACGGAAGCAACAAGAGAGCGAGATGGAAGCGACTACAAGGTGCTTGGGGAGAGCTCTGTGGGGAAGGAACGCGATGGAAGCGACGACGGGCTGGACGGAAGGGAAACCGTGGGAAATAGCTTGGGGAGAGCTCCAACGACAGGGTGGACGCTGGGGAAATCGTGGGAAATAGCTTGGGGAGAGCTCCGTGGGGAAGGAGGGAGATGGAAGCGACGACAGGGTGGACGGAAGGGAAACTGTGGGAAATAGCTTGGGGAGAGCTCCGTGGGGAAGGAGGGAGATGGAAGCGACGACAGGGTGGACGTAGGGGAAACCATGGCAAATAGCTTGGGGAGAGCTCCGTTCGGAAGGAGCGAGATGGAAGCGACGACAGGGTGGACGGACGGGAAACCGTGGGAAATAGCTTGGGGAGAGCTCCGTTGAGAAGAAGCGACGACAGGGTGGACGGAAGGGAAACTGTGGGAAATAGCTTGGGGAGAGTTCCGTTGGGAAGGAGCGATACGGAAGCGATGACAGGGTGGAGGGAGGGATAGCTTGGGAAGAGAGGGTGGACAGAGAGGAAACCATTGGAAATAGCTTGGGGTGAGCTCCGTTCGGAAGGAGCGAGATGGAAGCGACGACAGGGTGGACGGAGGGGAAACCGTGGGAAATAGCATGGGGAGAGCTCGGGTTTTCAGGACAAATTCCATCAATGCGATTGTCGCGAAAAATTGTGCGCCCAAGATTTTTCAAGTGGTTTGCAATCGTTGGGCGATGGGACATGCATAGCTTCGTTGGCAGGGAGCGACACTAAAAATGCACTGCTCTTGGCACGGGTTTTTCAGGAGACAAATTTCATCAATACGATTGTTCCGAAAAACTGCGCGCCCAAGACCTGCCAAAGTTTCCAAACCCTGGGCCATGGGACATGCATAGCTTCGTTGGCAGGGAGCGAAACTAAAAGAATGGAGCTGTTGGCACGGATTTTTCCGGACAAATTCCATCCCCGCGATTGTCCCGAAAAACTGGTGCCAAAGACTTCTCAAACGGTGTCTAAAAGTTGGGCAAAGAGACATGCCGGACATGCATGGGAAAAGTTCTTTGCCGGAGGGGTTGTCATTTTGCTCGGCGTTCTGTCCGTCGATGCTTGGTTTTCGCTCCCTTTGCGGCGAGGCAAACTAAACGATAACCCAAGCATAGGATATGCATCAGCGTGAACGGACAGGTGGGGAAATAGCTTGGGAAGAGCTCTGCTGGGAGGGAGGCACTGAAAATGCGGAGCTGTTGGCGCGGGTTTTACACAGAGCAGCTTTTACACAGAGGAGCTTCACACAGAGGAGCTTTACACGGAGGATCTTTTACACAGAGAAGCTGGTACACAAAGAGGACTTTACACACAGAATCTTTTACACAGAGAAACTTTTACACAGGAAAGGTTTTACACGCAGAAGCTTTTACACAGAGAAGTCTTTATACAGAGTAGTCTTGACACAGAGAAGCTTGCACACACAGAGGCTTTTACACAGAGAAGGCTTTTTTGCGCAGAGCAGCTTTTTCACAGAGGAGCTTTTTCACGGAAAAGCTTGTACACGCAGAGGCTTTGACACAGAGAAGTCTTTACACAGAGGAGCTTTTACACAGAGAAGTTTGTACACACAGAGGAGCTTTTATACACAGACGCTTTTACACAAAGATACTTTTACACAGAGCAGTTTTTACACAGAAGCGCTTACACACGACACGGAAGCTTTTAAACACAGAAGCTTTTACACGGGAAAGCCTTTACACAGAAGTTGTTACACAAAAAAGCGTTTACACTACAGAAACTTTTACGCACAGAAGCTTTTACACACAGACGCTTTTCCACAGGAGTGTTTACACACAGAAGCCTCCACGCACAGAAGCTTTTCCCATAGCTTTTGCACAGAGGAGCTTTTGCACACAGAAGCCTTTTACGCAGAGAAGTCCTTCTTACACAAAGGAGATTTACACACAGAAACTTTTACACACAGACGCGTTTATACACAGGAAGTTTTACACACAGAAGCGTTTACGGTGCACTGAAGATTTTAGACAGAGCAGCATTTACGCACAGAAGCTTTTACACAAAAAAAGCATTTACAGAGAGAAGTTTTTACACACAGAGGCTTTTGCACAAGGAAACTTTTACACAGGAAAGCTTTTACACACAGAAACTTTACGAAACTTTCCACAGACAGAAGCTTTTTACACCGAGAAGTCTTACACAGAGGAGCTTTTACGCACAGACGGGTTTGCACAGATAAGTCTTTACACGGAGGAGTTTTTGCACACAAAGTTTTTACACACAAAAAACGTTTACGCACAGACGGGCTTTACACGCAGAAGCTTTTACACACAGAAGCTTCTGCACGGGAAAGCCTTTACACACAGAAGCTCTTACACACAGAAGCTTTTACACTCAGAAGTTTTTACACAAAACAGCCTTTACACAGAAACTTTGACACACAGACGCGTTTACACAGAGGAGTCTTTACACAAGGACGGTTTACACACAGAAGCCTTTACGCACAGACGTTTTTTTGCACAGAGTAGCTGTTACACAGAAGCCTTTACACAGAGAAGTCTTGACACAGAGAACACAAAGGCTTGTACAGAGAGAAGCCTTTTATACAGAGAAGTCTTGACACAGAGGAGTTTTTACACAGAGAAGTCCTTACACACAAAGGAGATTTACACACAGAATCTTTTACACACAGACACATTTACACACAGACAGAAGGTTTTACAAATAGAGGCTCTTTTGGCGCACAGAAACTTTTCCACAGAGCAGCTTGTACACACAGAAGCTTTTACACAAAAACTTTACACAGAGAAGTTTTTACACACAGGAGCTTTTGCACAAGTAAACTTTTACACAGGAAAGCTTTTACACACAGAAACTTTCACACAGAAGCTTGCGTTTACACAGAGAAGCCTTTACACAGAGGAGCTTTTGCACACAGAAGCCTTTTACGCACAGAACCTTTTGCACAAAGTAGCTTTTACCCAGAGAAGCCTTACACAGAGAAGCTTTTACGCAAAGACGCGTTTACACAGAGAAGTCTTTACACAGAGGAGCCTTTACGCACAGACGCGTTTACACAGAGAAGTCTTTACACAGAGGAGCTTTTGCACACAGAACCTTGTACACACAGACGCGTTCACACACAGAAGGTTTTACAAACAGACAGCTTTACGGTGCACAGAACTTTTACAGACATAGAGCAGCTTTTACGCAGCGAAGCTTGTACACACCGGAGGGCTTTTATACACAGAATCTTTTACAGAAGGATTTTTTTTATACATACACACAGAAACTTTTACACACAGAAGCTTTTACACGCAGAAACTTTTACCCACAGAAGCTTTTACACCAAAAAACCCTTTACACAAAGGAGCTTTTACACACAGATGGGTTTACACAGAGGAGTCTGTACACACGGAGGCGTTTACACAGGAAAGCTTTTACACACAGAAGCTTTTACACAGAGTAGTTTTTACACAGAGAAATCTTTACACAAAGAAGTCTTGACACAGAAGCTTGCAAACACACAGAGGCTTTTACACAGAGAAGCTACACTCAGAGGCTTTGACACAAAGAAGTCTTTTACACAGAGAAGCTTTTACACACAGAAGCTTGTACACAAACAAAACCTTAACACAGAGGAACTTGTACAGACAGAAGCTGGTACGCAAAGAAACTTTCACACACAGACATTTTTACAAACAAAAGCTTTTACACACAGAGGACGTTTTACACAGAAGCTTTTACACAAAAAAACCTTTTTTACACAAGCTTTTACGCAAACAAACTTTTACACGCAGAAACTTTTACACACAGAAACTTTTACACAAAGAAGTTTTCTCACAAAAAAACATTTACACAGAGGAACTTTTACACAAAGAAACTTGTACGCACAGACGCGTTTACACACAGTAGCTTTTACGCATAGAAGCTTTTGTACAGAGAAGTCTTTACCCATTTTTCATCATGTTTCATTTTTCATGATCATCCTGTCAGCTTCATAACTTCGTTTTCATGCTCTTTTGGTCAACTCCCTCCGTCGTTTAGTTTTCATTTCGCACGGTGTTCTGTCCGTCCACGCTTCGTCCTCGCTCCCTCTGCGGCGAAGCAAACTAAACGAGAATCCAGGAATAAATAGCGACTACAAAGATGGGATAGAGTTAATTACATTAGCAAAAATAGCGACTAGAAGAATGTAGACGTAACTGACACAGCATGCTGTGGTGAATTGTGGCCCCTGATACCATCAGTGCGCACGATGTTTCAGTAAAGATCTTACGCCGATTTCGTGCAGAGCACAGCTTCCCACACCACAAGTTTTTTTTTTAAAAAAAGTGTGCTGTGTGCCGTCTTGCTTTTGGGTTCTCTGGCCCACCTTGTTTTCATCAACTCCAGGGGATTTCTGAGCTTCGCCCAGGTTGTGACTTTGGTGAGCTCAACGCCTTCGCCGAGCTGAGGCTCAAGGACCTGGTGGAGCAAGCGCTATCCAGAGGTCAGCGAGGACTCGCAGGCTTGGTAAAAAAACGTCGCAAGAAGTCATGGCTGTTCATCCAATAAGGATCAATCATCATAAACATCCATAAATTTCCATAAACACCCATAAAGATCATAAAGATGATGATCGATATTCATGTATATATATATATATTGATTGATTGATGTTAACATTGATGTTTATCACCATTGTTCATCAACAATAAGATAGGATGTTGATTTGCTGAAAGGATAAATTGGTTGATGATGTGAATGAATTTGGGTCAGGTCTCCCTGCTTGGGCTGCTGATGAAACAGAGGCAGGAACTGAGAGGTGGAATGATGTGGGTTGGTTATGGGTAGTACCCCAATTGAGCAGTGGCTGCTAAAACCTTGTTAGTTGATGATTATATGGGATTTATATTGGGAACTGTCACACTGAGAAATCCTATTAATCAGATTAACCGCTTAGTTTATGTCAATTTGAATGAGGGAAATGATGATAAAGCATGGCAAACTGTTGGTCATTTGAGTTGGGGGGTGCCCTGTTTTTGAACCACGCCCCCATGTCCATGTCCCCATGTGTTCCGAACTTCAGCTCTAAGGATGTGGCGAAAGCTGCGCTCAAACTTACCAGGACACTGGAACAGGTCTGCCCCCTGCTCTGCTGTGGACTTTTCTTGGCGCCCTGCTGTGCCCTGTGTCCCTGAGATGCTTTTCGCTTCCAAAAGCTCCTTCGTCTTGGAGGCCATCTGTACAGGTGGACTTAGGCTCACTTGAAATGCTTACCGCATCTTTAAGGTGTTTAAGGAGATTGAGCTGTCGTGTATCATGAATTATGTGGAATCATGTGGAAACATGCGGAAATTTGGTCCCCATTCAGAGCCCATTCAGAGCCCATTGAGGACATGATGCGCATCCTTTGGCCAGCCAGCCAGCTAAGTGACATCTTAGAGATGCGGAGATGGTGCACAGAGATGGCCGACAGCTTGGAAAGGCCCAACATTTGAAAACTTCGCCTGTCAATTCCATTCAGTATGCATAAATTGTGGACCCCAACATTAGTTATGCAGCTTTTCACAGACTCATGTGTACACACAATATGTATATATATATATATAATTATGTCTTATTGTATGATATATATATGTGTATATATATATATATACACAATGTTTCATCTCTCTACATGAAGATTTGTGCATCATACGCTAGCCATTAGATTTCGAGCCATGAACCAGCTGCAGGACTGCCACCCAGACACCACCGCTCTTGCCAGAGGTGACGAGGGCTGTTTAGGTCTGAAAATGCGACACTGGGTACCCACTGGGTACCCCCAAAATGGCGATTTAAGACAACTTAGAGAAATATGGGGAATATGATGATGAACCATGATTAACCTAACCAGTGGATTGTGGAAAGAACACGCCATTGTTGGACAAATCCATATTACCAGCAGCGCATCGAACTTTCTTCGTCTGAAAGATTCTGAAAGTATCCAGCTGCCGACAGGGATAAAGGTGCATGAACGAGAAATTCACCAAAATGTCTTATTAGTTAGTGTCGGATTTGCCAGTTGAATGCAATGCAGGATCAGCTTGACGACTTGCACTGCATCTTTCAGTGCCCTTTGAGTCCGTCACTGGTAAGGGTGTTGTACACTTGAAATGAGTCATCTGGAAAAGGTGGCTTAAAAATGCAGACTATAAAGTGCTCTGGAAAACATGCTTTAAATCATTTTAAATCTACAGGCAGACTTTCAGGATGATTCCAAGTGCGCAGGTATTTTGACACAGATCATGACGGGCAGCTGAAGGAGCGCCGCAATGTGACCGTGTGGAAGCTTGGCGAAGCTTGGTGCTTTTGGCCTCCGCAGGTTCCAGATCTCATCGCTACAGGCTTTCTGAACCGCAACGAGGAGCGCATCATTTGGAAGATCATCCATGATCACCTGACAGTAGCTGCGTAGCTGTCAGGTAGATCTCATTATGCAAAAGTACGACGTGGATGGAGATGGGCTTGCCTTCCATGTTGTTTCGCGCTGTTTCGCTTGTGATCTCTGGGGATAATTGGGATATAGACATCGACCATGTCATCATGGATGAAAGCTACATCTGCAGGGGATCAAGTCACAAGTCCTGCCCATCTGCCAGGATGTTGGGATTGTCGGAATTTACGGAGTTGCTGTGTCCAGCTGGGTATCGTGCTCATGAGAAGGCAGCTTGAGTGCAGTGGATTGGATGCTGTTGCCGAGTTTGCGCGTTGCAACGTGAAGGAACGACAGGAATCCTATTCGAATCTACTCGTAGTAATGTTTTGATGCAGGCCCTTGGGTTCTAGTGACGCCATCATGACTGATCTTTGAAGTTAGGGCAGGACGACGCTTGCTGTTCAGAATTCTGAGGAGAAACTGTAATAACATGATGACACTATATATATATATATATTTACACACACACATATATATATATAGAACATGCTCATTCAGTCGCATGACAAGACTCATGTGCAGTGTGCCAGGCCACTCACGCAACACTGGGGAACGGACGTCGCGTTTTTTATGATGACAATTTTTGCCGTCTGGCGCCCCAAATCCAACTGTATTTTTTCTTTTCGTTGAAATGTCTTTTGATTCATATCGACGTTTCCTTCAATGGGGGTACCCCCAATTTGCATCCATTTTAATGGGATTTACCATTATAAACCATCCATAAATTGGAATAGCCCCATGACTATGGAAACCTCCATTAACATCTGTTGCACTATCTTTTGGGGCTGCACTCAGGTTGGCGGCTAGCCCCCAACAAGAGGCGGGTGAACAACAGACAGATTCTGTCAGTTTGTTGAGACAGCCCTACTCGTTTGGAGGTAGCAGGTGACAGACACCTGATCTGAAGTGCTACATTTGAAGCTCTGCCTGAATGGTACAGTTTCAATCCCTCAGCTTGTACAGACTGCTCGCCTGAAGGCGGCCTACCATGTTTGCAACGTTCTGAGGTTTAAGGTTTTGACTCTTGTTTATTTTAGAATGATTTTGATGTCCCTTGCAAAGCAAGTTGGACTTAGAAAGCATTGCGGGCAATGCTTTTTAGAGGGACAGGAAAAAGAACACATTATTTTGTATTGATTTGTAGAGTCAGGTCAGAGCCAGCTGAATGCGACCTCTGTATTTCGGTGGTTGCCACTTGTGTATGACATGGCTTTTCTATGCTTTTCTGCCATGTTTCAGCTGCTTTCACCAACTTTTCCGCCATCTTTCCATCCCTTGCACCTACTGCTTCTTTCCTCCGGAAATAATCATTCAAAAAAATGGTAGAAGGGGGAAACTAGGACACTCCTTCTGACTGACAAAACGAAGCAATAGAAGATGAATTCGTTTGTGCATTTTCTTTTGACAAATCTTTTTGATTGAACCCCCCGACATTTTCGTTCTACCCACCCCCAGTAAAGAAAAGTCCTGTATAGTATAATTAGAATGTATGTTGATGATATTTTCTAATTATATATAATCAGGATGAACGAGTATGAAACCTACATTGATACAATAGAAGAGATTGAAAATAGGGTTGTTGATGAATGTTGATGACACGAAATATCCAGTCATCACCGACAACAGGGTGAAGAGATGCTGTAGGCACACATTGGAGCTGATTAAACTTGTTTTAAATTTTCTCAAATATAAAATAGATGACGAAAAAGAAAACTAACCCAATCAAAAAACAACCAATCCCCGAGGACTTTGAACTTTCAGATGAAGAACCCGCTGTTGTCAATCTGAACGAGGAACAAAAACTGTCAAGTAAATTCATTACCTTTGATTGTCCCATTTGTAGGGGTAAATTACAATTGAGAAACGAAATTCTAATCAATCCGAAGGGCATAAAGTGTTCTTGTAATCCTTGCTCCTTCAAAATTACCAAAAACATCCAAAAACGACAAAACGATGAATGTAAGTAGAGATGACAACGGGGATATAAAGTTGGACAGCGAAGACCACAGTATCTCGTTCAGTTGGAACAGACAAATCACACCCGAAGATAAGAAAGTAGAGAGCACTAACAAGATGATAAGCGATGTAATGAGCACTCCAAGAAGTAGCGGTAGAAAGTCTATGAATGATATGGATTAAACAGTTTCTCCCAAAATGGTGTAAAGAGTAGATTTTGCGTGAAAGCAAATTGATAAATAAATATCTAAATAAATATATATCTAAATAAATAATTATATAAATAACTATATAATAGTATGGTGGATGTTGAGAGCGACGACCCCATAAAACAGTCAGAACTGGAAGAACTGAAGAATAAGGTGAGCAAAATGAATAAGAACCTTAATGCCGTCCTCGGTATTGTTAAGAACATAGAGGAGAAACTGAATGGCAAGAAGGAAGAGAACAAGGAGAACGATAAGGATAGAATAAACAAAGCCTTTGAAAAGAAGCAGATAGGCAGACCCGTCGGTTCGTGGGAAGATAAAAGGAAACAATACTTTGAGTGGATTACAACGGGTAAAATCACTCAACCCAAAGAAGAGACTTTAGCATACTACAAAATCAATAAAGACCCGTCAAACAACTCCTATGCGTTGCTGTCGTAGTTTCATATTTTAAATCTATAGATTTATAATATGAAATTACTTGAACTGTTTTCTGGAACGGGAAGTGTAGGCAAAGTCGCCAAAGAGTTAGGTTATGATGTTGTCTCGTTGGACTTGAAGGATGCCAACATCAATACCGACATCCTCAATTGGGATTACAAACAATTCAACAGAAACAATTTTCAAATCATTTGGGCTTCTCCCCCTTGTGTTGAATATAGCATCGCCAAAACCACTGGTGTTAGAAAAATAGATTATGCCAACAGCATCGTTCAAAAGACCATTGAAATAATAAGATACTTCAACCCTTCGGCATGGTTCATAGAAAACCCACAGACTGGCTTGTTGAAACATCAGGGCTTTATGAAAGACTTTGATTACTTTGACATTGATTATTGTAAATACGGCTTTCCATACAGAAAAAGAACGAGGATATGGACGAACCTAAAAACTTGGAAACCAAGACCATTATGTAAAAAAGATTGTGGAAACATCATCAACAATAAACATAAAGAAACAGCCCAACGGATGCCGTCGGGTAAAAAGAGCGAATGGGGTGATAATCCTATAATCCATCGTCAAAATGAATTATATAGAATACCATCAGATTTAGTTAATGAGATTTTCAGTCATATATTGTTGGTGTAATTTTGATTGTAAGTGTCTATTCAAACTCCATTTGATAAATTGACCACCACATTCACATGTCATTTTTTCTAAGGGTAGTTTGTCTTTGTTTTTCTCATAGTACTTATGTTGGGACTGTTGCTTCGTTTCTTTAAACAGTGGGTTGCCTTTGTTCCTATCACGCTATTCTTTCATATTCTTAAGGAATTCATCCTTGTTTTCTTCATAGCGTTGCTGGGTTCTTCCAGCAATCAGTTTATTGACACGGGAAGTCTTCCACCAGTTCTATCTTACAATTTTCAATAGCAAATTCATTAAAAATCTTAAACACCGATATGGGGTCTCTCCTCTTCTTCTGTAAGTATCGTTTATAATCGCACCGATGTTTTACCATTCGTTTGCTCAACGGTTGTGTGGTAGAACCAACAAAACAGATTGTATATAAGTTGTCCCAGATTTTGTAGATTTTCCCTTTACTATAATCTACCATTTTTTATTACTTGTTATTACTTTCAGTCCTTTAAATGTCTTCATCATTTACAAAAGTCATTGAGAAGGAACAATTAACATTGTTCAAATCCACCACATTACCGTAAGAATTGACCATTTTGACATGTAAAGTCCTTAAAACACGATTACTAACGTTTATGTAATCATGCGAAATGATTTCGTTGTCATAGATGACTGAACCGAAAGGGGCGTTAATGGGGATTTTCTTAATGATGTTGTAGGCACCCGTAGAACCTAATTGTTTAGCATCGCTCAACTCACTACAAGTAAGGTATAAGTTTCTCAACGCTAATAATGTCAAATATCCGCTTTTCCAATCTGGATAGTTCAACGACGAGGTGTAATTTCCTGAAACCTGATTGATGGATTTTAGGTTATTTCTGTCATAAGATGTTCCCGTCCATTGGATGGTATTATATTCCATCTCATAGTGGGTCATTATCTTAAAAGAAAAATCCACATAGTTTAAAGCGATTGTTATTTTGTTGGTGTCATAGTCGTAAGACACACTAAAATAGTCGTTGTTGGCTTGAAACCCATTTGTTGCTTCGTTCATCTTTGTTTGTAGATTTGATGCTAATGTAGCACCGACATAGGAAGCACTCAACAGTTCAATTATAACATCCGTGGTGTTTGAAAAGTCCGTCAGTCTTAAGTATAGGTTGCTGTTTAACCCCGCTTGAACTGGATAAATGGAATTAGGTATGGTGATTTCGTGGATGTATAGTTTGGTGTCGTTCCCGCATTCTTGACTTTCAGGTAAATAGATTTCAAAATCACTACTACTGTTGGAGTTCTGGGTTCGGTGATGGCTGTCTATGTATATCTTTTTAAATCTACTCATTTTTTTATGATATAATAACTTTAGAAAATATTTTTAATCTATACATTATTATATATGCTTCAAAAAAGGTTAATGGATGATATGAAAACACAGGGACGACTACAAAGAATAAATCCCTTTAAAGAGATTGACGGTAAAGAATACAACAAGAAACACAACAACAAACAGAAGGAATTGTTGGAAAAATTCAGCAAGGAGATACAACAGGGAAACACATACTTGGAGGAGTTCAGCAACATCAACGACGAGACGGGACTAAAGAGGGCATACAACAACAGAACAGATTTAGGACTTTACCACCACCCAGAGAATAAAACCCTTTACATAGCGGGGACGAAAGATTTTCCGAGAGACATCTTGGACGACACACTCATACCTTTTCATATGGTTCATAGGTCAAAGCGGTATAAGACCGCAAACGACTTCATCAGAAACAACATTGATAATGTTGATACTATCGTCAGTCATTCCTTGGGTTCAGCGACAACGATGAAACTGAACCAAGACTACAACAAAAGATTTACCACCAGAACCTACGGAACGCCAACTGCAAGTTATAATGACAACACTGACAGTAAGAACACAAGGTTCAGGGCAGTAGGCGACCCAGTCAGTATGTTTGACAGAGGCGTGGATATAACAGTCAATAAAAACAGTTATAACCCTTTATACAATCACGGCTTTCACGCCGTCCATTTTGGAGATATGGGAAAGTCAGAAAAGAATGTGGCAGAACCAATCAATAAGATAATGTGATTTTATTTTATATAAGTCATATTATATGGAAGACATCGTAAGGGAATATTTGAAGAACAACAGGCAGGAAATGAAGAAGTTGATGAACGAGAATACCAAAGAGAAAAAGCACCTAACATACAATGAAATCAAGAAGGTCATAGAGAGCGGAAAAGATATAAATAACAACGAAAATAAACCTATAGAAAACAAAACCCAAAACAAAGGGAAGAAAACCAAAAATACATTTAAAAAATATAACTTTGATATAACTTAATTTAATATAACCTAATCATCAAAAAAATTCTATATAGAATATATACAAGTATGGAAGCATTAGAAATTACAGATGTTCTCAATGAAAATGTCCTTCGGTATAGACTAAAAGGTGGAGCGTCCTACATTAGAGACAAACGTATTAAAACATTCTACCCTTCTTCGGTCTCTACTTACTCATCCAACTCAAACAGTATCATCCGTTTTAATCTAAATGGTGGAGCAAACGAATGGATAAATCTGCGAAGTCTTTTGATAGGTTTTACCCTCATCAATGCTGACAATGACGGAACAAAAGAGTTAAGACCTGCCTATAAGCCATCCTCATTTTTTCAACGAATGCGAGTGATGGCAGGTTCAAATGTTATTGCTGAAATTCCTGACTTAAATAGATACGAAGCAATGATGGATATTTTACAAGATGACGGTTCAAGAAACTATACTGACAATCTGGGTTTTGGTGAGACCTTTTACAATGAAGGAAATAGATTTTTGACATATACGCAGTTGGCAACGAACCC